CACGATTCCACTCCAGGTGCGTCCGTCCAAGACTGACTGAAGCAGTGTTTGCTGACATTGATCCCCAGAGCCCCGCCGGGCATCTCAGTACGAGACTATCTCTCCCGCCTCATAGTGCACGCTACGCTGTCTCCGCCTATTCTCCTCTCCATGGTCTTCTACGTCGACAAGCTGTGCGCCATGTACCCCGCCTTCACAATCAGCAGCCTCACCGTGCATCGATTCCTTATAACTGCTGCGACAGTCGCGGCCAAGGGCCTTAGCGATAGTTTTTGGACCAACAGCCTATATGCAAGGGTCGGCGGCGTTAGTGTCCGTGAATTGGCGCTACTCGAGCTGGAGTTTCTGCGGAGGCTCGAATGGCGCATCGTCCCAAAGCCGGAAGTACTCGTAGATTACTACAAAGGTCTGGTCGATCGTGGCGCAGGATACGTTATAGAGAAGGAACCGGAATCAGGACCGACGGCCAGCTCAAACCACGTAACCACGCCTACGGGATCAGCGACAGGAATACACACCAATCAATCAGGCACATAATGACACAAGCTCTTGAGCGCTGAGCAGCATCATGCCACGATATCAAGCCAGCTCATGAAACGCTCCCCAATGCCGTTAGCGTCTCTACCCTGATAGCTTTGGTCGCATTCATGAGTTCGCGAAGACGATGTTGTGGGTTATCTTATCTGTTCCCACTGTCAAGCCAAACCGTGGCCGCCCTTGTGTGGAAGGCTGGGAACACGGCTGGTTGGATGTTGATGAGCTGGCGAACATGACTCGGCAGGAGTTATCACCTACAGCCTCTCCTCTAACGGGGGATCTTATCGAGCTGCCGGAGGCACATCACTACATCATCTCAGGCTCGTGCCATCAGCGAGCACGCTCATAGGCATCTTTTCGATGCCACCAGCACGGTTCGTCACAGTGACGCATCTTATAGCTATCAAAAGCTCAAGGCATACTTCAGAGAAACGGAAAAGCTAGGGATGAGGCAGCACATTGCCCTTGCGTGGCCGCTTTTCTAGTAGACGACGAGCGTAGGATGCACGAGGCGAGTGAGAAAGTTGAATAGCAAGTATTGCTTGAAAAGTACGAGCAAAATTAAATCATCAACCCCTTTCAATATGCATGCCACTATCTTGTGAATGGTGTTCTGGCAGACGCACCACGGTCAAGCCGCTAAGAGCATGCATCGTGAGTAACGTGGACGAGTAGAATCGGCTGCTAGCATACCCCAGTCGTAAGACGCACGGGTGCCGCAGAGTGAGGATAACACTCCACCCCTATGGCGTAGCTCTTGGTGTTATCGCGCTCCTTTGCTGCGACGACGGAGGTTCCTGCAAATGCCACGGCGCAGGGAGAGCCGAAGCATGCTACACGCGACCTTGATCAACGATGTCGGCTTAGGTAGTGGTGACCCTGACCCAAGAGTTGAACATGACCTGACTTGAAACCCTCCGTCCTTCATTCTCCACCCCCACTACACTCTCCACGCGTCTGTCTTTACGAGGTCACATTAGAGCAATCGTGTGCCGGCGCTACCCCGAACACCTCGCGATCCAGACGTGATCTCCACCCCGACCCGCGGCAGACGCGTCTTACTCCTCCGGCGGCGGCAGTAGCGCGACTATAGTACTATGAGGGTGAGTGTGTATATGTCACAAGAGCCCACGGACCCAATCGAGCGCTCTGTGTTCCTCGCCAGCTCTGGCTTTACTTCCCTGGCTTGTCTGAAACCTTCGCACGTGCTCAAGTTGCTCGTCGATAGTTCCGCCATGCTGCTTGATCACTCTGTAATTGACAACCCACTAACTGGCACCAGAGGTTCAGGTAATTCTCCAACACAGAGTGCTATGCGTAAGAGATGAACTCGGAATACACCCGCTGGGATGGTATCAAACACCAGTACGACAGTCCTTGGAGCGCGCCTCGCCCCGAGGCACCGCCAGCGCCGTCTGCCCTCCCGTACGCGTTCCCCGAGCCCTTCCCGCAACTCACAAATGGGTTCCAGCAACTGCAGGTGGGAAAGCACCCAAGAACGCGAACGTCGCCCGTAGTCACGCGCACACGCATAACCAGACACGGCTCCGAGCCAAACCCTACAAGACCGCTGTCTAGCGGAGGAGACGCCCACATGGTCCCTTACCAGACCCTCGTCCCGCATCGTCGCTCCGAATCCTACTCCCAGCCCACCCCACTCGAGGACTTCCGCAAGTCAAGACGATGGCCGCCGAAAGGATACACGTCGGAGGATGCGCTGGAACCTGACCAGGCAGAGGAACTCATATGTGCCGGTGCGTCGTCGTTCAAGGGATATTGCGATGCGATAGCGAACGCACCAGCGGGCTACGATCGCTTCTATGCGGTCATGGAGGCTGAGCATCAGAGTCGAACGGACCGCGCATCTTTCCAACAGGAGGCATACCGGGACATTTCGCTCAACATGACGGGTGCGTCTGATAGCCAGTTTCCGTGGCTGGCTCACGAGTACCCTTGCATGGCGTACGCGTTTGGCAAGAGTGCAGGAACCACAACTTTGAACAACTGGGTCAGCAAGTGGAGGACCAGTCAGCCTCCCACACAATTCGCGAGCGAGGTCAAGCCACGGAAGATCAGGCTCCTTCAGATTCTGGACCGGTTACAGACCCTAGAGAGCGGCCTCAATGAAGATGTCAGTCAACAGTCGTGCTCGGGGTGCTTTGGTTCGAATGATCCTAACTATTGGTTTCGCAGGATCCTGAGGACTTATATCGCTACCTATACGGTACACTGATCGAAGACCCGGAGCGATTTGACGAAGAGCGCCGCCATGTTCGGATCGACCAGCAGATCACAGATCTCATCACAGTACTCAGCAACCCAAAATGGGTAGATTTCTCACACCCCAAGAACCAGGTTGTGGCGAAGTGGTTCGATTCTCCCGATCCGCAGCGGAAGCAAGACTTCTTCCACCAACTGCTACTGTCAGTGGAACTCTACCTTCGAATACACTCCAAGCACCATACAGACAAGTCCAAGCGGAAGCTCATCCTGCAGCTCCCAGCCATCATCACATGGGACCTAGCAGTGGCTCAACGGTGGCTCGAGAACATGGAGATTACGAAGACGCGTACATCATCCACCCAGAGCACTTTTAGCTTCGATCTGAGGAGCAAGAGCAGACAGATCGAAGCATTGAGGCTCTTTGCGGCAACGCTCAAATGGCCAAACATGGATGAGGTTGAGTATGTCCTAGACGAGCAGGACCTGAAGGAGAAAGCACTCGAGGACCGGTCCGCGGATGCCATGTCCTGGTTTTCCGGGATTATCTTGCCAGGTCGGACACTCCCGTGGCTCATCATGAACAGCTTGATAGACTGTGACCGAGACACCGGGGATGCTCTAAAGTACCTGACACACGTGCATCCTGCATCTGGATTCCAATACCGAGCCAATACGTACTGGTCATCACAGTCCATTGTTGGCAAAGTACTAGGGGCTGCACGCGGGGTGAAACAAATTGCCGGCTGGATTGGACCATGCATCTACACTCCAGATCTAAAGCGGACAGAGTGCGTGAAAGTTAGACAGCACGAATCCCCGGATCCCATGCTTGTCTCCATCGACGTAGAGTCTATGGATCAGCGCAGCAATCCCTTGGGCGCGCCAGACGACATGTATCCCGTGGACGACTACGAGGTTCCTATGCCAGACACCGAAGATGTCACAGACCTCATACGTATGGAGAAGCTTCGCTTTATCCCCGTTAAGGAGCGTCCGGAAGGAACCAGACATGCTGCTGGTCCTCCAATACTGTTCGATGCTGGTATTTCATTTGCATGTGGTGGTGAGAGCTGGGTGATGAAGTTGCGATACAATGTCGACTTTATCAATGCCTTCCCCTGCCACCAGGGCCCTCATGGTACGGATTATTTCTCGACAAAAGCTTGTCACATGCTAACATTCATCAGTGCTTTTCTACGACTTTAGTTATAAAGCCATAAAGATTGACGACGGCCTCGTCGACATCCATGATTGGGGCACCCAGTCCGGTCGCATACCCCGTCCCACGTCATCCAAATCCTCTCCTGGCAAGAAAGCCCTCACACTCATGAACGAGAAGCAAAAGAGCGCGCACGAGCAAGTTACCAATGTACTCGTTATAGAGGCTCTGGGTGTGAGTGATAATGAGGTTTTCGCAAGAGCATGGTGCGCGCATCATGGGCATAGTGCTATTGTGGCAAACATCAAGGAGACGTGCATGGCTTGTGCGATTCGGGAGGCGTACGCGGCATGTGTGGCTGTTGTCATACTTACTGAGGGGGGTGTCGTGAAGGAGAACGATACCGAGGTTTATGGATATGGATGAAGAGAAGAATCTTCTGAGGGTTATGCATTTGCATCTTTCTGGGTCTGCTTCGGCACCCTTTTGTATTGATGGCTACACGATTCTCTTTTGTCTTGGCGGCGGGACGGTGGCATCGGGAAGGGATTTTGGGATGCGTGTCACGACTGTAACGGTACTCATGGGAGTTAAGGTCATGATTATGTAACACGTTATGAATGTACGCATTTGCTCTGTTCGGACATGGAAACCTTGGACCGACTTCGCATGAAGGGTCGATCACGTGGCGATAACCAAAGTGTTATCGCGCGACTCTGACGTTTGCGCCAACGCGATGGAGCGCGGGCGGCTTTGTGCATCATCAAAGTTCCCTCGCGACCACGCGGCGAAGCATGACTTACCTCGCAAACTTCTCATCGCGACTGACGACTGTTTTGAATTAGCGCTTACTTGCCGCATGAACAGTGATACAATTCTCCATTGCGCCTTCCTACGATCCTCCAGCCTCTCAAACCGCAGTTTCCCTGGGACGCTTCCATTGCGCCGTTCGTCATTGCCACACGCTTGTGCGCCCAGCACTGAACCTCTTCGCATGAGGCTGCACGACGACCGTTAATCTGCGCCAGTCGGTTGTAGCACACGCCCATTACCGAAAACCCGCTCGCTCTCCGTCTATGCCATGGGCCGGTCAACGATTCCTCCCGCGCTCAGCGAGCTCGCGAATCCGAGCACGCCCGAGGCACAGCTCGCCGCGCTTCAGAATCTGAAGAATGAGATTGTCGGACACGAGCAGAGGAAGGAACTGGCAGTGACACATGGTGTTGTGAAACCACTGGCGGGCTTGCTACGGGCGGAAGCTAGGAAGGGTGGGAAGAGGAGGAGGAACGTCACCAATGGACACAGCTCTGGGCTCTTCAATGAGTCCAGAAAGAGCGTCGAGGAATGGACGACCGAAGATGAGTTGCGGTTCCAGGCTACGCTCGTCGCTGGTAGCCTTGCGAATGGTGAGCGCGCATCGCGAACTGATCCATTTTGAAGGAACATGTTGGCTGATATTTGAGACATACAGGCGGACCAGCGTTCGTCGCTCCGCTTCTGACAGGCCACGTACTACCTCCCCTGCTTGAAGCGCTACGACCCAACGAGACGCCTGCGAAACTCGTTACCACGACCCTCAAAACCCTCAACCAGATCGTCGATGCAGTCAACCAAGAAAAGCCCTGGCTCGACCATTCCGAATCGTCCTCCCGATCGTCTCTCGCCTTTACCGTCAACGAATCGATATACACCAGGCCTGTCATTGACAGCTTGGCCGAGATACTCGCGCAACCGACAGGCACGATGAAGGCCTACCAACAGATTGACTCGACGATCCGGCTCATCACGAAGACGTGCGTAGAAGATAATCAGAAGAAGATGCTAGTAGATGCAGGAATACTGGATCTCCTCGCTGATAAGCTTGCTGCTGTCGCTGCCATGGACGATCGTATCCCCGCAACCGAGTGGAGGCAATCCAACGGTCAGGCAACGACAACAGGAAGTGACGGCTCGAGCAGCGTTCAGAAATCGGCTTTGACGCCGACAGATCGGATTCGTTTGTCAGACATCATGGAAGCAATTTCGGTCATCATTAAGGACTCGCATTACTATACCGCACGCTTCCTGTATTCACACTCAATACAGCAGCTTTTTGGGTGGCCAAAGGAGCGGAATGTATCAGATGGAAGTACACAAGCGGCATCCTGGGATAAGCTAATACCACGGGTACAGACGATGGCGAGCAAATCAGATCCGTACATCAAACAATGGCCGGCGCTTGGTGCCTATGGCTCTGTCACCGGGGATAACTACTCTCGACTACCGAGTATGGACTCGCTGCAGCAGAACTCAAGTCGGAGTGTGATCACTGACGAATCCGAGTCACCGCTCTTCATATGGCTTATATACGTCGCCCGCCGCGGTGAAGGCAGAGAACGTCTATCTGCTTGTGGGATGTTAGCACTGTTGAAGAAATTCGGCGAGCGCTGGCCTTTGAACGATCCCTCCAAGACATCACGAGAGCGCCACTTCTCGTATCTCATCATTCCTCTCGTTGAGAAGATGATCGAAGATTCAAGTCCGACATCAGAGCAAGCGAAAAGAGCTAATACTCTAAGCCCTGCTTCAAGAGATGAGATGCGATTCGTGTTGGAACGCTCGCCAGTTGTGCTTGCTGAGCTGATTGCGGGAAATAAGACTCTTCAAACAGCAGCCGTTCATAATCGAACCCTGCCGACCCTTATTCAGATCCTCAAGAAGTCGTTCGATGTGCCGGCTACATCTTCAAAGCCTCTCTGGCAACCACGATCGTCATCTCACGAAGTGAAAGACCCAGATATTGACCCTGAATCTTCCACACTGGGCAGACCTGGACTAAGCGCCGATGTATTGCACGCGTTCAGGTATCGAGAGAGTGTGCTGCTGGCTCTGGCGGCGATAGCAGGAGACCAAGATGCGTTGAGAAAGATGGTCATTGAGATGGGCGCTGCAACGCACATTATCGAAGCCTTGGTTCCTTACCGTGAAAGCAACGAGCAGGGCGCGTCTTCTTCCGCGAAGGACGGCAACCCAGATTCGGTGCTCATTGCTGCGTGTAAAGTCATACGGTCGCTTTCCAGGTCTGTCAGTGTGCTGAGGACCAGCTTGATCGATCACGGAGTTGCACAGCCGATATTCGAGCTCTTAACGCATCCGAACGTCAAAGTGCAGATTGCTGCTACGGAGGTCATCACCAACTTGGTGCTTGATGTGTCACCTATGCGAACTGTAAGTACGATGCTCATTGTGTGGTTTTTCCATGCTAATGTATTTACTAGGAGATCGTCGAGTCTGGAGTACTGGGAACGCTCTGCGAACAATGTAGATCCGCAAACTTCGACCTTCGTTTCGGTAGCCTTTGGGCGCTCAAGCACTTGTGCCTAGGCTTACCACATGCCATGAAGATACAATGCCTTGAGGAGCTCGGTGTTGGCTGGCTCGTACAAGTACTCAATGGAGAACCATCCAAGCCAGCTATGGGCACACCCAACGCAGCAGGAGAGCAAGTCGATATTCTCAATGCGGTTGACGAGCCCCATATGGATGTGGACGAAGAGCCGTCATCCGAAGAGGACGATGACGCCATGACCGAAAGTATACCGTCTATGCGACGGCATCAACGTCCTGGTTCACGGTATACAAGTGCAACTAACATTCGAGATCGGTTACAACAGATCAAGAACGACGAACAGGACAACCGGCTTAACGGCGAGCGCGACGATATCCGTATACAAGAACAAGCGTTGGACTTCATCCGGAACTTTGTTTCAGAAGACAAAGCTTCCGGTGAGATGATCGACCACCTGCTCAAGACCTTTGGCCACAGTCGGTTCTTCGAAATTCTCGACGCTAAGATCCGGCCGAAGACGATGTCACAAGCTCAACCCAGTGCTACAGCCCCAAGCTACTGGCCAAGCACTAGCCACCGCACACCCTTTTCCTCTTCCACAAACACCCCGGCACAGCCAAATTGGGCGACCTATCCCGCCCCCGAACTCATTCTGGCCGCAGTGTATATTCTTGTCCATCTCGCCAATGGTCGGCCTCAGCACCGCTCTCTTCTCATCTCGCAGACCACTCTCATGCAGCATGTTCTTCAGCTTTTTGCTCACCCTCGTCGCGACATCCGCGTCGCATTGTCCTGGATGCTGCATAATCTGGTGTGGATAGAAGATCATACCGATGAAGCCGCTACGCGTGAACGTGCCATCACCCTTCGCCAACTGGGCTTCGAGGAAGGCGCTAAGCAGCTGGGTCGCGATGCAGACAACGACGTACAGCAACGTGCAATAGTAAGTATTGAGCAGTTCGACAAGCTACTCAACGGTGGTAGTGGTAATCGTCGGAGCGGTGGCTTTGGTAGCCCTGGAGGTTTCGGTGGTGGAGACAGCGGCGGTGGCCTTTTAAGCGGGCGTTTGAGCGGCGGGATGCATGGCTGGAGACATGATAGGGGTTAATTCTGGGATAAGTCAGGTGCACTTCAAACACGTATATGGAGGAGACCCTCTAAAATTATCAATTATGTTGCCGACCACATGTCTTCTGAATCTTCAATTGCCTGTGACCTTCGGTGTGCACCAAACTCCGAGCCCGCGCTAGTGTACTGTAATACCCCGACTTCGCGTCATCATCGCGGAATGCTTTCCGAAACGCCCATACAATTTCCACATCGCCCCCAAGAATCTCGCACGCCAACTTCGCAACATGTCCTTCACCCGAATCTCTCGGGCTGTTGTACCACGCGCCTTTCGCTCTTTCTCCACGACCCGGACGCGCTTCCAGACCGCGATACCGTACACGCAATCATGTCCGTCACCGAGCTGCGAGTGCGCGGCAACGCCTCCCGATCTAGACATTGATCGCAAGACACCACTGTTGAATACTATGGCGGCCTACTCTGAACAGGTCATATTCTGTACCGGGAAGGAAGACTGGGTCAGCAACATCGAGCAGGAGGAGGGCGAGACCGGGGAGTTTGTAAAAGGGCTCAAAGGTGTGATTGGAAAAGGCGGTCCCGGGTTTGATGTAGGTCTGTTTCCCAGTACGGTCATTCTATGATACTTGGAAAGCTGACGCGTTGCTGCATCATATAGCCATTCACGAACGTTCTCATCACTGCTTCCTCTTTACCGAAAAGTGAAAAGGCAGGCGCGACAACGGCATTGCTATTCCCGAGTTTCAAACGCATACCGGATATTCCTCATACCCCCGAAGCCTTCTCCAACTTCGCGACCGCGTATCTAAAGGCTCGCAATCTCCATCCAATGCACGATGGCCTCTCCGCCAAGCAAAAGTCTCATCTCCTTCGCGACGAGTCGAAAGCGAACGAACTACCAAAGGCGGAAAACATCACGAAACCCACGATCCTGATATGCGGGCACGGCGGCCGTGACCAGCGCTGTGGTATTCTCGGGCCATTACTACAATCCTCGTTCCGGTCTGAGTTCCAGCGGAGGGGTATAGACGCAGATGTAGGGTTGATAAGTCATATTGGTGGGCACAAGTATGCTGGCAATGTCATCATGTACCTACCTCCCAACATGGAAGGTAATGCATTGAAGGGCTCGGGTATCTGGTACGGGCGGATAGGGCCTGAGAATGTTGAGGGTGTGGTTGAAGAGACGGTGGTTAGAGGACGCGTCATTACAGAGCTGCTGAGAGGGGGTGTGATGCAGGGTGGAGGGAATATTGGGAGAATGATTGAGGCACAGTTGAAGAAGGAAAGTGGGGAAGAGGAAAGTGGAACGTTGAGGTTGAAGGCTAGGGCGAGAGGTTGAGGGTAGGCTCAAGTATGTCAAAGCGAGTCTCAAACTGGTTTGAATGTCGTCAGCCGTGGTCAAGACTGTGTCAAAGAACATCAACATCGTCTCTGTGTTGAAACCGATCAATTGATCTGTTGCGATCCTTCTAGAATGGTCTGCACATGAGGGGTGGCTAGCAGCCGCAACAATGCTGGTCAGTGCGTTGATCATAACCTCTCAATTCCGATGTGCTTCACTTTGCCTCCTCATCCACCTTCAACCTTCAATCATGGCTACTCAAAATATCTTACTCAACATCAAGTACCGGGGGAGTGAAAGCGTCATGAACATTCCCTCCTGGGAAGGCGCTGCGAGCGTGCCGACCAGTCTTTTAGGGGCACCGTTGGAGGTTCGAGAGACGCCCGAATACAAAGCCCAGCTTCGGTCCACACTCCTGGATATCGAATCCAAGCATCGGCCCCGGTGTAAACAGACAGTTTCCGGACATCTGTGTATGTTTTGCGGCTCGAAGGCTACCGATTTACTTTTCAGGCCGGAGTGCCTGCTACATCTCGACGCCCCGCAAATCATGACAAAAGTTTATGCCACTTGTGGGAGCCAGTCCTGTAAGACAGGAGCGATCGCATCACACGATGCGGTGATTCAAATGACCACGGCTCATCTCCAAAGCCAAATATCTAATGGAACTCCCTGCCACTGCGGGGGGAAGGACGGAGCAATGAGATGTAGCAGATGTAGGGTGACGAGACATTGCAGTAGAGAGCACCAGAAAGCTGATTGGAAGAAACATAAGCGTGTTTGCGAAGACCTGAAGTTCGCGAAAGAGTACTTGGAGGAAGTCTGCCAGGCTTGGAAGCTCCTTGACGAAGAAGAAGACGGAACATCAGGCATCTTGACGTCCACTCCCAACACAGTTCCAAGGCAGCAAAAGAACAAGGAATCTGAATCGAGTAAGGGAAAGCAGCAATCTGGGCCCACTCAGCCAAGCAACAGCGCCTCGTCGAGCAAGCAGAGCCAGGGAAAAGACAAGGCAAAGAGCACAGCACAACCCAAACCCGAGATGCGCACCGTACGTATGCACTGCACGCCTCTAAGCTTCCAAGAAGTGAAGCCTTGGGACTTTTACTGCGAGATCCCCGCATCTCTCATTATCCCCGCAGAGATGCACTCGAGCCCACCCCCAACATACGAACGCGAGTTCGGAGAAGCCATGCCTCCAATCATCGCAGAACACCAGAACGAGTTCAACACAAGGAGTGGTCCAAAATGCTTAGTCTGCAAAGAAGCCCCGACAAGATACGGAAAGACTTTCTGCGTCTCCCAACTCCACACGCCGGAACCGTTTGTTGTCATTGGCATCGTGCCAACTTGTGGTACAAAGAAATGTATAGATGGGGCTAGCGAACTTATGAAAGTCTTCAGAGCGGATCAAATGAAGTATGACGCAGAGCATGCCTGCAAGGTGTGTGGCAAATTCGAGGGGTCAAGGCCATGTTCGAAATGTGGGATTAAGTGGGCGATGTATTGCAGTGCTGAGCATGAGGAGCGGGACTGGCCGAATCACAAGATTTTCTGTAAGGGCGACAGTATGGTGCGTAGCTGCGAGGTGTGTGGCAAGTCCGAGGGGCTAAAGCCATGTTCGCAATGTAAGTCGGCAAGGTACTGTAGCGTTGAGCATCAGAAGCGGGACTGGCCGATTCACAAGGGTATCTGCAAGGCCTTGAGAAGTGTTCATGATCTTGCGGAGGAGACAGGACATTTGGGCTTGGAATGAGGAACGTTCATATTGTCATCACGTTCAGAAAGCAAAATCAGCAACTACATGTATACCCCTCGGTCCCCAATGCTCAAGCAGATCGAAAGTGTGTACCGATGTTGAATCTGCCGCCCTCCTCGTACCCAGACCCAACCGCCGCTCCCTCGCCCTCTATCTCCTCCAGGGCCTGCTGTGCCGCCTCCACCAGGCCACCCGAGAACAGCTGTGTAGCCGCTATCTCCTCTGGTAGCTGGGCGTACGCCTGGTCGGCGGTGCCTGTCATCATCCGCGCCATCGCGGTCTTGCAGTCGCCGCTCGTCACTTCGCCCGGGTATTCTCCTCGCTCACGCCTAGCCTCCACGGCTGCAACCAGATACCCCATCGCGACCTGGTATCTGCCAACGCTGTGGCCGCTCAGCTTGCGCACGTCACCGGCAAAGCGTGCAGGCCAATCGCATGGAGCGACCAAATTGCCTTCACCGTCGCGAGGCGCGATCCACGCAGGCAAGATCTCGCTGTCGTCACCCAACTCCCAATGCTTGCGAATGGCCTCGAGGTACTTCTGCGCCTTCTTGTAGGCGCCAGACGCCTTAGCGCCGGAACCTTGTTGACGCCCACCAAAGGTGGCTTCGATGCGGTATGTCGGGCCCTCGACAAGGTGGTGGTAGTCCAGACGGACTTTCTCATCGCGCTCAGGATGCCAGATGATGATGTCTTGAGTGGGTTCAAGAACCCCGGAGAAGGTGGCGCGGAGCGCGTTGTAGACCTCATCGCCCTGTTTCAGGCTAGAGGAGACTTGTCCCCAGTAGATGTCGTCGCCAAAGCGCATCATGATGAATTTTGTGCGCTCAGCGGGGGTGTTGTATGCGTATTGCATTGTGATGGTTGTTGTGATGGTGTGTAGGAAGTGTGTTGTAGTAGGTAAGTAGTGAGATGATGAGGTAGAAGGATTAGAGAGAAGAAGTCGAAGGCAGCAAAAGACAGCTTTTGTATCCCAGCACCAAGCGTAGAAATAAGAAACAGGCCTTCACCGCGGATAATTCCTCGGTCACTGTCACTTTGCGTAGCACGCGATCTCAAACGCGTCTTCACCTTCACTTCGACTGCTCCGTAGCCAACGCACCCGCGGGCAAAAAAGATGCTAGAAATTCATATATTAAGGACGGTACCAAGCTGAGTTCGAACAAAGGGCAAAAATATAACAATACTTCGGAAGGATGTTATGGCTTGTTTCAAGATGTAAAGACACGTTTCACTCCACTCGAACCTGCAGGTCTTTGCTATATGAGAATTAGCTGAATTAATTACAATATATAGAGCAGTCAAATTGAGTTCAATACAGATCTGAATTCGCGCGGTTGTGTTGTGGTGGAGCGCGTGGTGAGAGCAAACGCGCAAACGCTCGTTGCCATGGCACTGCGGTGAGAGCGCGCGCAACATTAGATAGTGCAAGAACACCCTAACTTTGTGTCTTGACTGCAGCATACATCGTCACTTCCAGTTACGTGCTACTCAGCGAAAGCCATGCCTGGAGGTATTCGCGATCTGCCCCGATGGTAGACTCGCTGGACATAAGATCACGTATCCAGCTACCCAGGACATCAACAACAGTTTGACGACAACATGTTCTTTTGTATTCAGCCAGCTAGGCGATGAAGAGCAGCATGGTATAATGAGTACCTCTGTATCCGGCAATCTACAAGAGGAACCACAGCTTAGGTATGGCTAGGCTCCCTCGTGACTAGCGACCTACGAGTTGAATCACAGCTTAAGACATCAGGATCCTTCGTACACGACACTTTGGTGAGATGTGAGATTGTATTTATACATATGTTCATCGACCCTTCTCCAACCTAGGCTTCTTCGGCCCAACAAAATTACATAGCGCACCGCCATTAACAGCAATGACCTTCCATCCCGCCGGAACGACAGCAAACTCCTCACTCTCTTCATCCGTTGCACTCAACTTCCAGATCTTACCTGTCTGTCTATCGAACCACTCCCTCCCTTCTGGAGTCTGTACCAATTTACGCAGCACAAACTTGGTTACAGCTTGACTATCTTTGGGGTTGACCGAATTGGGGAGTTTTTGGATATCCACGTCGAACTTGCGTTTGCCATCGATTTGGACAACACATTTGCGCGTTGTGGTGAGGAGCGGTATGATGGCGAGGTCTGCGGTTGGGAAGCCTGTTGCGAAGACTGTTGAGATGATGCTGTCGTTCGTCTGAGTCGCAGTGCATGTGTTCAGTTGATGCCAGGCTTCCTCAGCGACACCGGGAGCAATTGGGGCCAGCATGCGAACGAGGTGGGCCATGGAGTACCATTTGAGAATTGGTGTGACCGGAGACGCATGCGGCGTGTCCCAGATAGTGTTTGTCAGTGTCATTAGATCGCTGACGATGGTGTTGAGAGAGTATGTTTGCGAGTACGATTCTGCAACACTGGCGATGGTCTCTTGTGTCTTGATCCAAAGCTGAGCCTCATCTGATTTAAGGGTGGACACCAAGGTTTCGCGTGTGGCGCTCTCAGATTCGCCGCTTGTCGAAGCATCTTGTAGGATACTGAGGAGCTTCCTGTCAACCTGTGTGGGTATAACGAACTCGTCCGTCACATCATCAGGTATCCATGGTGCGGTCGACAGCTTGATGACTCGGTGTAACCATCGTTGTACGCCAGTGATCTTTTTCTCATCCCACTCAAGCACATCACTGACGGGTGCTTGGAAAAGCATGTGCGCACGCGTGGCGTCTGCGCCATACTTGGCAATCGTGGCACCTGGATCCACTCCATTGTACTTGCTCTTCGACATCTTCTCGAAACTTACGTTCGGAGTGACTCCACTGGCCTTGATGATAGGCTTGGAAGGATTGGTCAAGTCGACTTCATCGGGGCGTAGGAAGCGGCCATTTTCGGGGTCTGTAAAGGTCTCTCCATGCACCATACCTTGAGTGATGAGACGCGTGAAAGGCTCGCCATTCGTCAGGTAGCCCTTTGGCCATGTTGGAGTGGTTGCCAGGAACTTGGAGATGAAGCGCGCGTATAAAAGATGGAGAATCGCGTGTTCTACGCCGCCGACATAGAGGTCCACCGGCATGCCAGTATTGGTCTTTGTCGGGTCGACCAAGGCGTGCTCGTTCTTCGGATCTAGGAACCTGAAGAAGTACCACGACGAGTCCATGAAGGTATCCATAGTATCAGTCTCGCGCTCAGCAGCCGAGCCGCACTTAGGACAAGAGGTCTTCTTCCAGTTCTCATCTTCTGCTAACGGGTTACCCTTGCGGCCCTCGAAGAAGCTGTCGGGTAGGTTCGGTAGCTCAACCGGAAGGTCTGCCTCAGGCACAGGAACAGCACCACAAGATTCGCAGTGGATGATTGGAATAGGCGCGCCCCAGTAGCGTTGCCGACTTATCAACCAGTCACGGAGTCGCCAGTTTGCTTTCTTTTCAGCCGGCTTTCCAGTATCGAGAATTGCTTGTACAACCGCATTCGCGGCTTGCTTTGACGTCATGCCCCCGAAGCGATATATGTCTGCAGCAACAAAGCCTTTTTCGGTCATGGGGACGTCCTCACCACTGCGCGGTACAAGCGGCAAAGGTAGTGAGCCTTTCTTGGCAGATACGACGACTCTGACTGGCTCATCACCGACGTTCTTTCGCCAGAACGCATGGTCCCGAGTGTCGTGGCCTGGGACACCCATTACAGCACCAGAGCCATAGTCGTCCAAAACGTATGGAGCCACATATACAGGTACGGAGGGTCCGGTGGAGCCTTGAACATGGGCGAGGGGGTTGCGCGCTACAATTCTCCTCAGCTTGAATCCCTCCTTGGTGTCCGAGGGAAGGTCCTTTGCTCGCTCCATGAAGGCGCGGAGCTCTTCGTCTTCGATGGCTAGCTGCTGAACAATCGGATGACGCAAAGAAAGAGCGATATACTGTACTCCAAACAGCGTGTCTGCTCTGGTGGTAAAGACATCGACAGGCTCAAAGCGCATTTCACTATCGGTCGAGATAATATCGAACCAAAGCTGCGCGCCTTCAGACTTGCCGATCCAGTTCCTCTGCATGGCAAGAACCTTCTCAGGCCACCTGCCGTCTCGTGCAAGAGCGTCCAGGTCCTTTAGCAAGGGTTCCTGGAACTCCTTGATCTTTAGAAACCATTGCTTCAGCATCACCTTCTCAACCTTTGCACCGGAGCGCCACGAGCAGCCATTGGCATCTACCTGTTCGTTTGCGAGGACGGTTTTATCGACGGGATCGTAGTTCACGAGGGATTTGGCTTGGTAGGCTAGGCCGCGCTCATGGAGCATGAGGAAGATGCGCTGGGTGTGCTTGTAGAAATGGGGATCGCACGTTCGTATTTCCTACATACAGAGATCAGCCCATGCCTAAACATCCTGAGCGGTTTCCATACAGCGTCCCAGTCCCACCGACCACCCATTTCCTTCATCTGACTCTTCATAGTCTCGATGTTCTGCAGCGTCCACTTCTCCGGGTGTACCCCTCGCTCGATGGCTGCGTTCTCGGCCGGTAGACCGAACGCATCCCAGCCTATGGGATGTAGGACCTTGTAGCCCTGCATGTGCTTGTATCTGGAGAGAACATCGGATATGGTGTATACCCGCAGGTGGCCTAGATGGAGGGTGCCGGAGGGGTATGGGAACATGGGCAGCACATATGCGTCTCCCCTATCGGACTTCCGTAGGTCGTGCCATTGGGCAGACAGCTGGTCCCAATGTGGTTGCCATTTCGCAGTGAGCGATTCGACCTTGATTCCCTCAGCTCTTGACTTTCTCTCCAGTGTACTCGCCCATCGTAGGGCTATGCGCGGTCGGAGGACTGGGAGGCGTGGAGGGCGCCGCCAGCCTACGGACTGCAGACTGAGACGACGCATCACCTGGGCGTATGCGCATGGCGTGGACGTGTCGTATTCATAGTCTGGAGGATGCGCGGATCTGCGCCAAGCATCCAGTCCTGAACGACTCCCACATTTTTTGGATGCAGCTCTAGCGCTCAAAC